AAGGTGTGGAAGAAGAGAAGGCATGAGAGCAAAAATAAGTTAAAAAGTCAAGAAAAGTTAACAGTGATCTACAGTTATGGAATTTAGAATAATAGTTGTTTCTCATGGGAAGGGTTGGCAGGAAAGGAGCATGAGGGCTCTCTATATAAGGTGATGGAAGTGTTCTATAACTTGGTTGGGTATTGATCACGTGAGTGTATTGGTCACATGAGTCTCATTGAGCTGTACACTTAAGATCTGTGCATTTTTAAATATGGAAATTAAATCTCAATAAAATTAGTTTATTAAAACTACTAAAACCAAAACAAAACAAATGAGCAGTAAAGGGAGGGTAGGAACCTTCCAGTATCTCATGCTCAGGGTTTTGTGGGTATAAGGCATCATGGCATCTGTGTAACCTGCTAACTGCTGAGTTGGGCTGGATTTTAGGGTTTAAGTGAAGGAACACGAGAGCAGGTAGTTAGAACCTTATATGCTATACAGAGGAGTCTGATGTCATCCTTTAAGTTATGGGTACCACTGAAGGGTTTAAGCCTCATCTCTAAGTGGCTGAGACTGCCCCACCTTGAGGTAAGTGTCCATTGGCAGATTAGGTAAGGAGCAACAGGCCTCCCATAATTCCATCCCCTCAGAACTCTGCCCAGAATTTTCCCTAAGAGGGAGGGAAGGAAGAGAAGGAGAAGGCAGAGAGGAATAATACAGCTGCCAGAGTGAGCTGCACCCAGTGCCTTAGAGAATAATCAAGGCGAAGCAGTCATCTTTCTGTACCTAAGCTGAACTCTGTCAACTTTCTCTACCCAGGTGGGGAGGGAGCCTATAGTTTTTGCTTTGACCTAGGATGGAACATTCTCCAGGGACCGCCTAGTTCATGTCTGCTGGTGATGACTTCTGCCTCCTCATCCAGTGGCCTCAGAATCAGTTTGGCCCCTGCTGTTTTTATGCTCTTAAACCAGATGTAGAAGGTTCTGGGTAATGCAAACTGTTGCAATGCTCATCTGCTAACTGAAAGTTTGGCAGTTTGAGTCCATCCAGAGACGCACCTTGAGAGAAAGGCCTGGTGATTCACCTCCAAAAATGTCAACCATTGAAAACCTTGTGGAGCGTATGTAGTTCTACTCTGACACACATGTAGTCACTATGAGTCAGAATCGACTTGATGGCAACTGGTAACTGGGATACCAGCAATAGCATCCAATTGTGCACCCCTTAAGTGTAAACATCTCCACCAGCATTTTAGGAATTCCTGAATCTTCCTGCCCTAAATGAACATCTTTGCACCCAACCATAACAGGTTTTCCCACTGGTTTCTTCCATTTGCAGCATGCTCTCTCCTACATGGACATCTAAATTTTACTGTCTTCCATGGCTGATAAATCCCCTTTCACTTGTTTTATCAACATTTTCAATCCTCTGAACTCTCCCTTCCCTGGACATGTGTTGCAGCTCCAGGCAATAATATCCTTTCACATCCTCCCTCCCCTCATGTTAAAATGTTAAATCTATGTCCTCAGGTAGATTATAAGGTCCTCTAAGGCAAGGAAGAATCTCAAAAACCGTTTCTCCTCACCGATTTAGGAACATAGTAAATGCTTAATAAATATTTAGTGGTAGATTAATGATTGAGTTTGTAGGATCCAGACCACTGTGAGGGTCAGCTGTGCTAAATCAGAATTCAAGAAACTGTTCATTTTTCCTAGCCATTTTCTGCAAAGATCCTGGCCAGACTGCAGCCTGGGTGAAAGGTGTGATACTGGAGGCCAAAGAGAGCTGGGGGAGATGGAAGGCCAGAACACTGTGTGATGTTTAATCCTGACCTAAGCTTTGCCTGGATTGGTGACCTCAGGTGACTGGGGCCACAGAACTATATCCCCACTTCCTGCATTAAAGAGAGTGCAACTGCACTGGGTGCACTGGACAAAAAATGAGATTAGACATTATCAAAGCTGGTTTGCAATTTGCAGGTGGGCTACTCTCTGGATTTACAGCAACTGTCGAGTCATCCTACATTACTGAAATTGCAGATACCAACTGCCCTGCTGGGAAGAGAATTTGGGATACATTGTGAACTTCAAAAAGTTTCTGCCTGGAAACTGAAGGGGTAACCATGGTAACCTGGAGGCAGGTTGAACTCGGAGAGGGCTCTTCATCTGAGCAGAGAGCTTTGTGCTTTTGGATTTGCTTGTCTGCACACCTGTTTGTTAATCCCTTTGTCTCTTTTGCTTTCTTTGTCCAGTGGGAGAAAGTACTAGCTCTGGAATATGGGGATCTGGTGGAGGTCTCAGCTGTTCTAGTGCACCTTAGGCATGCTGGTTTGTTGTCTCCAAAATAGAAATGAAAAACTCCTCTGACCTATTCATAGGGATGCAGAGAGGATGGGAAGGTTTCAGGAAGCCTTAGTGGGTTCCCCTCATGATCAATTGTTGTTCTCATGTGGCCATGCCTGGGCTGGTTGGCACATGGTGTTACTGAGGACAAGGGCATGGGTGTGATCTTTCATTAACTCATTTTTTTGTTGCATGTAGAAAAGTTGTCCCACAGATGACACCACATCCCCATATGGCACCTGTATTCTAAAAGGATGCCTGGGGCATGTTGCAGCACCAGGTGAAACAACAACCCGCCACTTCCAGCAGAACGTCTTGCTGGTGGGGATGAAGAAGGTGACTCCGTAGAATGGTCAAAGTGTGCTAACAACAACTGCCTGCCTACATATCATCTCCCCACTCCCTTCCCATGGCCATCTCCCCGCCCCTACCAACCCAGGCTTGGATTTATGAGAAAGAAAGAACAAGAGTCTAGGTTGGGAGGACGGGAGTGAGGGAGGGATGCTGCTGTCTGACATGGAACTGCTGACGTGTGGAGCCTCTGCTGGACCTGACTCTGGGCTCTACTAACCCACCCAGAGGCTTGGGAAGGATTGTGGATCTGGCTCTTAAGGGTGCATTATGCTTTTGAGTAACTGGGTCACCTTCTGCAGGCCCTGGCTTAACAAAGGAATCTGATTTGACAAAGGAAGCCCTTTCATTCCCTTACCTGCTTTTCTCAGTCACCTTTCTCATTGACCTCTCGTTGGTGGGGCAACCTCTTCTGCCCCTTTTCCCCATCTCTTGCTGACCCTTTACATCGAAGAAAATAGAGTGGGCTTTGTGGAGAAGTGGCAATTTGTAGTGCCCTTTAGGAAATAAACACTTACATTCCAACATGCACAAAAACACCACTATTTCTTATTGTCTTGCCATCCTTGTATCCCTATGAAGTAAAATGGAAGGTAACATTTATTAAGTGCTGTCTTACATGTTGAGCACTGTTCTAAGCTCCTTACATGTTGTGGATGCTGTGGGATGCCACCTAGTGCCTCTTTCAGTCCCCAGGCTCTAGCCATCAGGAGTGTTGTCTGTTGTATGCTCATATAGTGGAATTGCCTGTGGCAGAAGGGCACCGTCTTGCTTACGTTAGGCCATCTTCTGGGGCAATTGCATGCAATGACTGGTCGATGTGGTGGTACATGGCCTGCTCCTTTGTTTGCCTCGATGGGCCCAACAGGCTCTCCTAGTTTCAGAGGACCCCATGGGACCAGCTGCAGTCTTTGTTGCAATGGCATGGAGTTCAAGTTAACTTCTCTCACTCCCTCACAGGTGTTGTTCTGGAGAACTCACTCAGTAAATCTCCTGTGTGCAAGTCTCTGCTTCAGAGTCTATTTCCCAGGGAATTCAAAACTAAGACATATGCATTAACTTGTTTAATCTTCACAACAACCTTATGGAATAATATCATGGTTCCTGTCTTAGAGATGAGGAAACCAGGGCGGCAAAGGTTAAGAAAGTTGCTCATGATTTCCCATCAGTAAGTGGTGGAGCCATGATTTGAAACCCCAAGATGGAGCTCTAGATCACATACTTTTTAATTGTCCATGTAGCCTCTTAAAAACAGTTCCTTTGGGGACCACTGGGCCGTGAAGAGGCTGTAGTCTTTATGGGAAAGATGAGGTGAAGAGAGAGGCAAGGCATTTATTACCTTATGTCAGAGATGGGGACATTGAGCTAGCAAATGCCTAAGCCCAGGATCATTTCCCAGTTACAGAGATGTGAGATTTCTCTCTCTCTCTCTCTCTCTCTAGTGGTGGAAAAAATAAGGTAAATTTAGATTTTAATTCTGGTGCCAATACTTCCTAATTGTGTAACTTTGGGGAAGTTATTTAACCCCCATTAGTCTTGGTAAAAGTGCTGAGCAGGTGCTCGATAATGTACCCACCTCCTCCCCAGATGTTGGTTATTTCCAGTTCTGTGAACTTGGGCAGTCTCTATAATCTTCAGTGTCATCTGTAAAACGGAGGTGATGATGACGATAAAGTGCTTAGCACCTTGCCCACGGGGTAGGAGCATAGTAAGTGGTATTTATGAGTATAATCATGATGCTATCTTGCCCATGTTAGACGCTGTGCCCCTGACTTTCAGTACTGTGCAGACTCAGACTTTCCTGTGACTGACACCTTTTGTGTCTTCCCGGCCCGCCACCCCCATGCAAACTCTCTTGACACGGCTGACTTGGTTTCCTGATATTGCTAGATGTCTGTGGGTTTATGTGTGTGTGTATGTTTCCTTCTAAACTGTGCCCGCGCTTCTCATCTCCGGTTATTTGTCTGTCGCCTCTCCCTCCTCCACCCGGAGGAGGGGCAGTCCTGGTGGCACAGCCTCCAGCTTGGGGTTGTGAGTGCGAGACGGCAGACACCTTGCAGCCCCAGCTCCACAGTTGCTTGGGGTGTCCAACCGGCCCCCTCCCCGCCTCGCAGTGTCCAGCCCCTCGCTCCAATTGGTCAGAAGCGCGTGGCCCCGCCCCCGTCTCCCCAGAGGGAATAAAAGTCGGTGCAGCACAGACTCCAGGCATCCAGCCGGTTAAACCCAAACCCGCATAGGAGAGCACCCTGCGCCGCTTCTCGCCGCCCAACTCTCTCAGTGTCAGCCACCATTCTCCCTACGACGTACTGCCCTGCGCCCACAGCCATGTGCCGGACCCTTTCCGCCTTCCCCACCACTTGCCTGGAGAGGTAAGAAGAGCTTGCCCCGTGGAGCGTGATATCTGCCTAGTGGAAGAAGTTCAAGTCTCTCCAACTCTAGGGAGTGAAAGGGCAGCGCAGCCTTGGGGACTTGGGTGGACAGGAAAGTGGGGCGCTAGTGACTCAAGTGGGGAGACAAGAGGAAGCGGCTAATTTGATGTAGCCTACTCCGATGGTTCCCTTGAGGCTAAGAGAAGCGACAGGCCAGGAGAAGCAGCAAAGCAGAGGCCATTCTTTGCTGCCATTCTCCATCCTCTGACAAGCAGCAGTCCTCAGGACCTGCTAAAGACCCAACTGCAGGAAGACCACGTTGGCAGAACTTAACTTTGCCCAATTTCTTAAGTATCTGGTTTTCACTCCACAGCCCAGAGCTAGCTTATAGCCTCCTTTGCTCCTTTGCCCCTGGAAAGCCCCAAACTCACTGCCAGTGGAGAAAATACCAACTCATAGGGACCCTATAGGTTTTCCAAGACTGTAAATATTTACTGAAACAGACTTCCACATCGTTCTCCTGGGGGTGGGGGCGCTGACCTTTTGGTTAGTAGCTGTGTGCTTTAACCACTGCACTACCAGGACTCATTCCTGGGAAGGCAGGGAGATGCTTCTCAGGCCAATGGAAGAGCATGTCCCCACTTTCCAAGATGCTACTCAGCAGTCTCCAGTCCTTACTGGGGCTTGTGCCTGGTAAGAAAAGGGCAGAGGTGAAGGAGCAATCAGTTTCCACACAGTTCCAGACATACTGACAATCCCAGAGGGACTGAGCTGTCTTCTGCTAATCAACAAGCACAAAGATAGATCAGTGTGACTTAAGTGAGGAAAAGCATGTATCTGCAATAATGTAAAACCCAGATGAGAAAGTATAAGACCTACCTGGGTGCCACTTAAAGGTTGTTTTCCCTGTTGCTGGGTTGATGATAGTGATGAGAGAGCGAAGTTTGGGTTAGGAACAGCCAAGGGTTCTCTGGAATCCCTGAGACTGGACTTTGGGTGGTGCTAGCTTGGGATTTCCTGGGATCCCATAAGCCTCTCAGCGCTGGCTGAGTGAATAGAGACTCCTTACAGGTGCCTTCTTTGTCTTCCAGAGCCAAAGAGTTCAAGACACGGCTGGGAATCTTTCTTCACAAATCAGATTTGGGCTCTGATACTGGGAGTGTTGGCAAGTTCGAGTGGGGCAGTAAACACAGCAAAGAGAGGTAAGTCCAAGGGCCAACCAAAGGCCCCTGGTGGGGAGGGAGTCAGATTTAGGAAAAGTCATGGGAAGGAATAATATGAAGAGGATAAACTAGTATGTGCTGGGGTAGACCTTGGTAACCCCTCCTTGAGTTTTTTTAGTGGGGCTTATTTTCAGTCTGCTGTATCTGCTTGGCTCAGGGGTGATTGTGGGGGTGAGGGGGTGAGGGGGTGGTTCCAGGGTTCTAAGCCCACCAAAAGATGACTGCATGGGAGGGATTGAATGTCTAATTACTGAACTCTCCCATCTGGGGATGTACATTGCATGTGCTATGAGGGCAAGGATGGGGTTCAAAACCACTAGAGGTTTTCATGAACATCTCTACTGCTATCAGCATGTGTCTTGGCTAGAAGTCATTTCATATTGAACATCAACGCCTGTGCCAGGTGCTGCATTAGGCTCTTGAGTTCTGAGTGGACATAGTCTCTATGCATGAGTCCTTGGTTTCCTTGGAGAGGTGTCCAAATCAAAGCTCTGAGAGTCAGGGAATAGAAACAATTTTGTACAGAGAAGAGGCAGCCTTAGAGATATTGGCTGAGGGCTTTAGTTTCTGGCTACTGAGGTATCCTGCAGCAAATGCTACTATCTCCTGTCCCCAGTCTCAGCCAGGAGTTTGAGGAGTCAGCTTCAGCAATCCCCAAGCAGCTATGTGTGAATTAAGCAACTTCTCTTGAGTTCTGGCTAGGATTTGTGCTAAGCATTGGTTTGTCCATTTATTATTTAAATTTTTTTTTTTTTTTTTAGCAGAAACTTCTCAGAAGATGTACTGCGGTGGAGAGAATCTTTCGACTTGCTGCTGAGCAGTAAAAGTGAGTAGGACCCTATGGTGTCTGTCTTTGGGTGGCACGTGTGTACTCATGTGCTTTGGAGCCAGCAGGAGGGATGCTGAATGTGTGGGCGAAGGAGTAGTTGTAGTAATAATAATAATAATGATCTCCTAGTTGAGCCAGCCTCTATTCAGAACACAAAGGCAGGTCCTTGTTCAAGAAAATGATGTCCTAAAAATAGAGCCATTAACTGCAGTTGCTGCCTTCTTTTATTCCCATCTGTCCCTCAGTCTGACCTGCCTCCTCCTCTCTCCCCCCAACCACAGATGGAGTGGATGCCTTCCATGCCTTCCTGAAGACTGAGTTCAGTGAGGAGAACCTGGAGTTCTGGCTAGCCTGCGAGGAGTATAAGAAGATCCACTCGGCTACCAAGCTGGCCTCCAGGGCTCATAGGATCTTTGAAGAGTTCATTGGCTGTGAAGCTCCTAAAGAGGTCAGAACCCCAACATGTTCTGTGGATCCTCCAGACCCTGCTTCTTCCAAAATCAGGGACCTTAGGGGGCCAGGAGATGAAGGCTTGGATTTAGAAGAATGGCCTCATTTGGCACAAGGATGAGTGGGCTTCTATAGTTGCAGACTGGGAAAGCCAAGCTCCTTCCTGCCTCTCTGGGTGGTAGTAACCTCAGATTCAGATGAGGTGAGATGGGCTGGCATGTTTTGGGCTTTCTGTCCACTTATGAAAACCCAGACCTTTTTAGACATAACACATACAACTGGGGAGACAAGATTATCACAGGGTTTTTAGGTAACCTGGCGTAGTCCCTGGCTGACCTGCCTCAGGTCGGCAGGTCTGTGATCAGTGAACTTCTGCCAGTCAGCTTTCCCTTCAGGCCCCCTGTGTGTGGCAGGTGGCGCATTTGATAAAGAACATGGGGCCACCTTGTGGAGAGATAATAGTAATGCCCTGCTTTTGTGTCATGTTTTTATTTTCTGAGCATTTTTATTTATTCTGGGAGTCTCTGGGTGGTGCAATGGTTAATGCACTAACTGAAAGTTTGGTGGTTCAAGTCTACCCAGAAGCACCTTGGCCAAAAGGCCTGGTAGTCTACTTCCTAAAAAATCAGTCATTGAAAATCATGTGGAAAACAGTTTGATTCTATTTTGACACACACAGGGTTGCCATAAATTGGAGTTTGACTGAATGGTAACTGGTATTGATTTGTTTATTCTACATTCTTCCACAAATATTTACTGAGCATCAATTACATCCAAGATGCTATTATAAGCACAAAGGGTATAGCAGTGAATAAAACAACCCTCATGGAACTTATATTCTAATGGGAGAAGATGACAGTAACTAATGAAACAAGTAAATATATGCCAGCTGGTGATATATGCTCTGATAAACATAAAGCAGGATATGAGAGGTGGGGATTGCCAGAGATCAATGGGGTAGGGAGAGGTGAGGTCTTTCACTGTATAACAGGGAATTCAGGAGTGGGCTGTCTAATAAGGTGATATTTGAGCAGAGTCATGATAGATTTAAGGGAGGGGAGAACATTCTAACACAGGAAATGGCAAGTGCAAAGTCCATACTGCCTCTCATATTCACAAAACAGCCAATGGAGTCGGGGAGTAAGAGAAAAGAGGTGAGGTCAGATAGGTGGCCAGCTGCCAGAAGTAAGCCAGGTAGCCATGTAGTCCAACAAGGACTTTGGCTTTTCTTCTGAGTGACATGGAAAGGCACTGGAGTGCATGGTCTTGACAAAGGTACCACCAAAGTGACTTGAGTGGAGAATAGACCATAGGGGTAAGAGTAGAGGAGAGAAACCAGTTAGAAGTTACTGGCATGAAACCTGGAAGGAGATGATGGTGATTTGGATGAGGGTCGTGTCAGAGGAAGGAGTTCATGTATACATCCTTAATGTTGTCGTTATTAGTTGCTGCTGAGTCGATTCTGACTGTAGGTGACCCCGTGTGTGCAGAGTAGAACTGTACTCCATAGGGTTTTCAAGGCTGTGACCTTTCGGAAACAGATCACCAGGCCTGTCTTCTGAGGCGCCTGTCGGTTCAAACTGCCAAACTTTTGGCTAGTAATTGAGCACTCGACTATATGCACCAACCAGAGACTCCATCCATTCTTCTTCTTTTTTTTTAATGTAATTTTATTTATTTTGTTGTTGTTGACATCATACATTCTAATTATGTCCTTCTAATCATTCTGAGATTAGAGGGCAGATATGGAATCAGAGATGTGGGGACAGGTACAGAATGGCAAAGCCAGTTCATGGTAGACTCAGAATCAGGCTCCTGAGTATAATTCAGTGCTCTTTCTCCTGCCCCACCTGTCAGTCCTCCCTCAGCCTGCCAGCCCCTCATCCTCCCCACTCAACTTTGTGCTTGCCTCCCTGCCACAGGTGAACATAGATCATGAGACCAGGGAGCTCACGAGGAAGAACTTGCAAGCTGCTGCAGCCACGTGCTTTGATGTGGCTCAGGGGAAGATACGCACCCTGATGGAGAAGGACTCCTACCCACGCTTCCTGAAGTCCCCTGCTTACCAGGACCTGGCTGCCCAAGCCACGTCCTCCTCAGCCTCCCCATCCAGTTGCAGCCTGGCTGATCCCTTATGCACCTGAGCCTACATGGCAGTGAGGAGCCAGCCGGGAAGAGAGGTGGAGTCACTCGTCCCTGAGGCTGCAGACCCTGAGTGGGAGGCTGGTTCTGCAAAGCGAGTGTGAGAGGACAGTGAAGCATAAAGCCGCACCTTCTTCTCCAGATACTGTGGGACAGCATTCGTGCATGAGAGGGTGCCCCACTTCCAGGACCTGTGCTGGACTGAAGAGGAGGGTTGTGTGAGGTTCCAGGGGAAAGAAATGTGGTGCAAGAGTTACCATTGGTTCTTGTTGTTCTCACTGGGGCAAGGAGATGTTCCAAGATGGTTTGGGTAAAGGGAAACTTGGAAATGGAAGGCATCCAGGTCAGCTGGTTTGCCTGTTGGTCAGTTGACTGTGATGGCATCCTGTTTTCCTAGTTCTGTTCTGGGCATAGAAGGGAGCAAGAGAGTGTAGCCATCCCATTCTGCCCTCCTTACCTGCCTCTTGGCCTCCCAGCCTCCCTTAGCTGGCACTTCCTGTGTGTCTAGGTCCTCAGTATTGTCATGGCCAGGAGCCACAGGTGAACTCTTGCCCAAGATGAGCTTTTTATACCTCAGCAACTGACCTTTGAGCCCCTTTCCAAAGCGGTAGAGAATCCTGAAAAGGGACCATCTTGCTTATATGAAATTAATCTTGGTACACTTGGTGACCTCTTGCAGGTGGACTCTGACCCTCCACTTGCAGCAAAGCCCACCTGTGAGGAGGGTACCCAAGGGCCTCTTGCTGGGAGCTGTTTTCTCTTAGCTCTATGCCTTGAAGATGGGGCTCATGAGGACAAATGTGTGAGGTCTCCAGGCAAGTGGCTGGTCCAGCCCCGTGCCTGTGCCTGGCAGGCTTTGATGGGCTTGTTTCTGAACACACCCGGTGCTGAGAGGAGCCGAGGACCCCATGACTAATCTTTGGACCTAAGAACATCTTCCTGCCCTTGATCCATAGATCTCCCTGCATCCTGTTTAAATTGAGCCATTATTTTCTGGGGATGAGAACAGGATGGAGGGAAGTCTGAAGTATTTTCTGTGGATGTGGATGCAGTTATTGGGGATGTTGGGAGAGATGGGGCAGGGATTAGGATGGGCCTTGGGCAGAACTTACAAGCAGGTGGAGGCTGGGGAAAGGCTGCTTGGAAAGGCAGGATGGGGCATGGGGTGGGGAGGGGTCAGAACCTGCTTGTCACCTCAGGGCATCACTGAACAAACATTCCATGGTGGGGGCTTCCTGCATAAGAATCCAGGCTGGGGAGGAGGATGTGCCCTTCAGCCCCCGGATAAGTAATATTGTTCTCTCTGCACTGTGAGCTCCTCCAGGAGGAAATATTTAAGTATAATGTATTATTGGTTTTGTGGCTGTTGTCATAACATATTGTTATTATTTTCATTGTTGGTATTGTACCTATCATTATTTATTATGGTAAGTTCACTTTACCTGTACTGGAGAATCTCAATAGGAGTTGGCAGCCTGACTGTCTCCCTCTCTCCACCGGACTCTACCTCTTCTGAATGTGCTGGGACCCCGTGAGAGCCTGTCGGAAACTTCTCACTGTTTAAATATTTATTTATTGTTGATGAATGGAGCTGGTTTCCTGGATATGAATGATGTACTCAATGCCAATTTTCCTGTTTTCAGCATGCTACATTCTTGTACAATAAAAACGGAACCCAAACAATGAGACTGTCTTCAGAGGCTGTGTCAGGGGAGAGGGGGAAGGGGAAGTGCTGTGGAGGATTTGCTCTGACGGACCTGGCCTCTGGAAACTCCACAGGGCAGATGGGTGCTTTGTGAGTTTAGGCTCCATGAAAGACCAGTGTTTACCTGGCAACTGGCAGAATGGGAGAGAAGGGGATAGAAAGTTCTAATGGTGGTGGCCATGGTGATTGATGACTTTTAGTTGATGATAGCCCCAACATCAGGATGGAACCAGACTCAGTTGGCTGTTATTTCTGAGCCCATCTCCTCTGTCCATCTGACCTAGACTCGGGATAAACTCAAACCAAACCCACTGCTGTCAAGCAGATTCTAACTCATTGCAACCCTATAGGACAGAGTAATACTGCCTCACACGGTTTCCAAAGCTGTAATTTTTACTGATACATCTTTCTTCCAGGGAGTGGCTAGTGAGTTTGAACCACTGACCTTTTAGTTAGCAGCAAGTCTCACTCAACCTCTGAGCCACCAGGGCTCCTTGGACTCAGAATAAGCCACTCCCAATTTTGTGTAACAGTCAGTTTCCCATGGTCAAGTAGCCATACACTATCAGCTAGGTGGTAATTTTCATGGCATTATTATCTCTGCCCATTTTCAATTTGAATTCATTTTCTTCTTTAATTTATATAAAAGAATCAGTATTCTTTCATGCTTTCACGGGTCTCTGACATAAACTTCATGAAGCTGCTCTGTACATGAAACTGCTTCATCCGATGAACTAGGGAATAAGAGGAGTGAACTGGGTCTGAAGGAATCTGGGGACAGGTGCAAGAATCAAAACCTCTGTCAAATCTCCTACTTGTTCTCCTTTCTTTCCTTCCTTATCCTATCAATATCTCACATTTGTTTTCTGTTTACCTCTAATTTAAAAAAATCCCTCTTCTCTAGTTTGAAGCATCTGCCTATACACAGATCTGCATCCTCTGCTGTTATGTGCCATCGAGTCGGACCCAACTCATAGCGACCCCTCCTTGGGTTTCCGAGGCAGTATCACTACGGAAGTAGATTGCCCAACCTTCCTTCTGAGGAGTAGCTGGTGGGTTTGAACTGCCAGCCTTCTGGTTAGCAGTCACTGGTTAGGCACTATACCACCAGAGCTCCCCTGCATCCTATATTGAATTTTATTTCTCATTTACTGTTAGTCGAGGTAAAGTAACCAGTCACTTCTACACTAAGTAGAAGACCTCATATCTAAGAGGTGAGTCTGTGGAGGATGCCAAAAAGGTTTCAAGGTTTGAGGACTTGGGAAGGAAAAGTTAAAGATGTATGGAAACAATCCAAAGCACTAATGGACCATGAGAATCTCAGCCTATGTGACCCTCAGACCAGAAGAACTAGATAGTGCCTAGCTACCAATGCCAACCACTCAGAAAGGGATCAAAATTGGAGATCCTGGACAGAGTGGGAGAAAACTGTGAACACAACTAAAAATCATAAAAAAGACCAGGCTTATTGGTCAGAGAGAGACTGGTGATACCCCCGAAACTATGACCCTGAGTCACCCTTTGGGTGTGGGATTGAACTCACTTCTGTGAGAGTGGCTTAACTCTCAGCTAAACAATAGACAAGCCTACAAGCTGAATACATGCACCAGGGAGATGCACTCCTTAGAACTAATAGGAGAACAGAAGGGCAGCATTTGCACAGGGAGAGAGGTAGAGAGGCAGGAATGCATAGGCAAGAAAGACACAGGGAAAGGGTAACCACAGAGAGGAAGTGGGAGAAGAGCTGCTACACTGGGGGAATGTAACCAGTGTCACAAAACAAAATGTGTATGAACTGTTGAATGTAAAACAAATCTGCTTTGTAAAATTTCACTCAAATCATAACCAAAAGGTTTTTTTTTTTTTTTTTAAAGGGGCCTAGAAAGGAAGACGGGAGCTCTGGTGGCGTAGTGCCTAAGGCATTTGACTGCTAACCAGAAGGCTGGTGGTTCAAAACTGCCAGCCACTCCTCGGAAGGAAGGTTGAGCAATCTACTTCCATAGAGATACCGTCTCGGAAACTCAAGGCGGGGTCGCTATGAGTTGGATCTGACTCAATGGCAAGGAGTTTGGTTTTTTTGGTTAGAAAGGAAGACAGGAGTGAACGTTGTGACAGGCCCTGGTCTCCTTCTGAGTCCAGTTAAACTATGGTGAGGAGACCAGTCTGCAAGAGATGGGTTGAGGGATAGACTAATGAGGGAAGATGAGAGAGTGTTCTCAGGGTGGCACGGAGATATTGCTGAGGGACATCTGCGCATTCTCCCTTTCTCACTACTTTCTTCCCATCTTTTTGCCTTTTAATATGCATTCATTACATACATCTGTGAGATCAGCAGAAAAATAAAAGCAACCGTACCATCCACTGCAAGTAACTTCATTTAATGAGGTGTGAGTGTGGGATTCTGATTATGTTTAGACAAGGGAAGAAATATGAATTTTCTGAAGCCATATGGGTGCCGATAGAAAAAGGTAGGTAGAAGTATAAGTAGGGTCCTTGGGGAAGGCCAGTAGTTAATTGTACTCAGCTGCTAACCAAAAGGTAGGGGGTTTGAGTCCACCTAGAGGCACCTTGGAAGAAACACCTGGCAATCTATTTCTGAAAAGTCACCTATTGAAAACCCCATGGACACAGTTTTGATTTGATATACAAGGGGTTACCATGAGTTGCTCTGGTGGCAGAGTGCCTAAGGCACTCGACTGCTAACCAGAAAGCTGCAGGTTCAAACCCACCAGCCACTCCTCGGAAGGAAGGGCAATCTACTTCCGTAGTGATACAGCCTCAGAAACCCAAGGAGGGGTCGCTATGAGTCGGATCCGACTCCACGGCAGTGGTTGCGTTTTTTGCATTTACCATGAGTTGAGTCACTTCTACGGCAACTAGTTAACCCATAAAACCACTGCCATCAAGTTGATTCTGACTCAAAGCGACCTCCATAGGGTGTCCAAGGCTGTAAGCAGACTGCTTCATCTTTCTCCCACAGAATGGTTGGCAGGTTCAAACCACCGACCTTTTGGCCCTAACCACAGTACCACCAGAGCCAAGAACAGGACTGATGGACTTCTGATGACTAGGATTTGTGCCTGCAGGTCCTTCAACCCAGGAAACTGTCCTCAAGGCTTGTTCCCAGCTAATTCTTCCTATTTGATTAGCACTTCCTTTCATACACAGAGTGGTTTTGGAATCAGTTTTACGGCCTGAGGGTGGTAGGTACATGTTAGTGATGAAAACAACTATTCTCTGAGCAATACATCTCCCAGGCTTCAGGCTCAAACCAGTTCCATACTACGTGGTTCTTAGAGAGGTTAAGTGATTTACTGAAGATTACATAGCTAGCAAGGGGCTCCAATGCCTTCAGGCACACTGGCTCGTCCCCTCTCCCTGTGCACTTCAGGCTATGACTTAGCAG